GCGTGCGGGGGGTCCGAGAAGGCCATCTACCATCCGTCTTGGGGAAATGATTAGCCTCTCTCGTTGATACTGTGCTGAAAAGTTTGGATAAGCGGGATGAGAGCCGTCACGTTGGTTTTCGTCAAGGAAAAAGATTCACCTGCCAGCGCTGCCCGCTGTAGCTGCGATTGAATGTTATGCCGAGGTAAGAACTCAAGACAAAAAAACTTCGTCGAGGAGGTGTGCCTTGTGATACCTTACGACGCATTACGATATCTCCCTCTCGCCTTGATGACTCTCGAGCGTAACGACACATGAGACAACGAGAGAATCGAAATAAAGTGAGGGCAACTACTATGTCGTGCCGTCATCGTCAACAAGACGACAAAGACATGCGAAAGCATGTTGTGAAACTCCTGATTTGAAAAAAAATATCTTTCGTCTTCGAAGACGGAGAAGACGGCTTTTGGCTCGAAAACAGTTAATGAAGTCAGCCACCGCCTCTGCTGCTGCATTTGACAGCCGATAAAAAGTGCATGCCCTTCTCAATCAAACCTACAGATATGTTATTTTGCATGTCCATGAAGTTACGATTCGCGCAGCGGCTTTGTTGTGGTCCTTTGCAATGATCCGAGGCTAGCCCATGCAATATGACCACAATCTTACGCATACACGTGCGATATCATTTTTTCGCGCAGCACAGCAGTCGGATATTGGCAACATGCAAGGCGTCCATGGACTACAGCAGTTATAGATCATATCGTTAATTGTGGATACAGGCCCTGTGTATTCTCCGCGCTGGAGATACACACGCGTCGCCGACAATATTCTCTACCGCTGTGTAACGGAAATGGCAGAAATAAAAGTTGAAGAGTCAAGTGCCGAGGTATTTATGTACAGTACGTCACCGAGCACGAACAGAAGAAATAGAATTGATTCCACAACAGGCGCAACTACCAAACATGTACAGTACGATGGGAAAAACAAATGCGCACCCGCCTCGTTTTGCGAGGATGTGCATGCATGCTCATAGTTTCGATTGGCGACGCATGGACGAGCGGGACGATATGTGCGCGTGGTGGATACCCTCGCGGGATGACACGAAAAAGAAGTGTTGTCTTTTTTCTTCCTTCCCGCATCTACTTCTACAAAAGAAGTGCATGGCAACGAGGAGGAACTCGGCAACACACCACACACGCTCGGCAAGCAGCACGCCCGCCCCTGTCAACGATGGACCTCTCTGTTTCTTGCTGGATGTGTTCTCGAATTCGGAGGTTGGCCAGAGAATCCGCGTCAGTCAGCAGTTTACCCCATCTATTCATCCCCGCCCCAAACAAGTGGTACATGGTACACATCAAGGCGCGCATGCTACTAAGGGGTTGCGTGGGGTTGCGTGCCAAACCTGTCGTCATTGCTGGTGGAGACGTATGAGAAGCACTCCTCGATCGCCAGCGGGATCACCCCTGGCTGGTCTTCGGTCCCCTGCATGGTGTGCGTTTTCCCCGTGCTGGTCTGTCCGTACGCGAACACCGAACTGTGCCAACCCAAGCCGACAACCAAAACACACACGCGGACAAAAGCAGCGGTGGGTGGGTGTCAGAGAGAGAGCGAAATCCAAGCATTGGGGTGAAGTGATGCAAGGTGCAAAACGTTTTATTACGTCAGCTTGGCCCCATGGTACACTGCCATGTCATTTTCGTGCAAAGACTATGATGATGGCATCGGTGGTTCTCTCAGAAAGGCGGTGGAAAAAAACGTTGTTGCATCGGCCAACAACCAGCGCTAGCCGTGCTACAGCGGTCGTCGGATTCCAGGCGTTCAAGCCCCTCCGTTTTCTCGAGCCCATTCTAGATCGGTCTATCCATAGTATTCGAAGTATTGCTAATCTGCAGCAGGTAGCAGAGAGGAGCAGGCAGCGGTGGCGGCGAACACCGGTGTGCAAGATGAGGATGTACTGCTCGACTTTGTTGAGAGAAGAGACGCCGCGTGAGAGATTCCAACAACAAACTCCTACCAAATCTGAGGGAATAACGAGACACATGAAGCACATGATGCCACGGAGTCACCCCCATCGACCAATACGGACATCGGCATGAAGAGATGAACCACCTCACCCGTGGAACCCGCCCATCGTCGCCAGTATCACCCTCCTCACGGCGTTCTCGTAGATCTCCTCCGTGCTGCTCACAGGATCAAACAGGTGATCGTACGTGAAGACACCTCCCGTCTGCCTGTTCCTCGAGACCGTGCTGGTCTGGGCGATGGTGTTATCCTTCCAAGCCCACGCGGGAGTCGCGCTGTGCCTCTCCTCCCGCTCGTTCAGCGGTCTTATCCGCACGCACACCTTGATGTTGTCATCGTTGGAAGTTGTTGTTGCCTCCGCTGTGGGCTTGAGGTTGGGCTTCACCATGGCCGTCTTGGAGGCTCTCCTGCTTTGGAGGACATCCTTCAGCGGTATGCCGCCCCTACGAGACGAGGGCTCCTTCAGGGAGGATCGCGAGGACGGGGGTGGCACGCGAGACATGGTTCGCTTCGCGCCCTTGCGCGGCTCTGCCGTTTTGTTGTGCTCTTGTCCTGGTCCAGGTCAACTGGCACTTGCTGCGTCCGGCATCTCGGCATTTGGCTTCGCCGCTACGGGGCCCCCTGGTTCTAAGAATAATTCCGCGGAGCCACCTGTGCCAAAAGAGCCTGCTGCCTGCATAGCCGACCTCCCTGATGGTGGAAGACCAGCGCGTTGGCGAGAGCGGCGATCTATGTCCGAACAGCACAACGGTTAAATTTTGTTACTAAGATGACATCTGATGATGCCTCGTCCAAAGAGATCCTTTGCTACGGGTTCAACCAGGTACGGTTGGCGCAGAATTCTTCTGCCTATTCGTTGGTTGGTTTCTTGAGCAACATCAACTTACAGCGCGGCGAGGTTGTACAGGCTGGGCGAGATGGGCGGACTGCTGTATCGCAGGTCATGAACAAATATGCTTGTTGCCCTTTGTCCCTTGTCATCGCGTGCGCGTTAAAGAAAATACCGCGTTTATGGTCGCTGTGGCACCACAAAGACATGAACAAATGGATGCAACATGCAGATGATAAGCGTGCTCGCTTTCTCCCCCCGCGTTTTGCCTCCGTAGCCACTTGCCACCTACTTCCAGCAGATGTCGAGTGATTGTCACCCAAGGTGCCGCAGGTCGCGAGCTGATTGTTTTCGCTTACGAGAGGCGTTCAGAGCTGTTCTTAACCTTAAACTTAGTATTCACTCCCGCTTCATCCTTATCTCGCTCTCTCTGTGTGTCTCGCCCGCTCCATGAAAATGTATTTATAATAGTTCAAGAGGGCAGGTCCCGTTCCCCAATCTCGGAAATGTTGAATTGAATTTGTCCGGGTGCCGGATATTACTGAACGTTGAAGTTGAGCCGCGGGGGATGCTGACTGCGGCCACTATCGCAAACGCGCACACTTGTAGAATCCAGTCTTGCCGTCATTCCACTCGCTCTCTATTTCTATCCATGAAGAACACAAGAGTCAACGCCCTTTGCCCCATCTCTTGGGGCTTGCAACCCGCCGCATCAGTGACATCACGAAGAGCCGCATTCAGTTTTGCAAAGCTTAAGACTATAGTTAGCACAGCAGGAGCAAGAAGGCAGGCGTTTCCACGTGCATGCGGTACACATGAATGTGCGCCACCCGCATTTGTCAGCGTTGCCATATGTGGGATTGGCCAGGCACACGAAGCGTTTTACCCGGCGCGCATAAGTAACCGCTAGGCCCCCCTCCCGCACGCCGATACCTCGCATCCCCGCAGGATGCCACATGCTTGGCTGTCGGGTTGCGCACAGGCTACCGCATCTACACGTGCCGACCATTCGCGCAGTGCTTCGCCATGACCGACGGAGGTATTGGGCGAGCGGAGATGCTGTTTAGCTCCAGCCTGGTTGCCCTTGTCGGCAGTGGGGACAGGCCTGCTTTTAGGTCGGTTTAACTTGTTGTGTGGTGCCTTTTTTTGTTTTTTCTCCATCCTGTGTTGTGCATGTCCTCTCTTGTGTTCGGGTACTGCACGGGTACTGCTGCTGTGTGGTTGAGGGTTCAGTACGGAGGTGTGTGGCGGGGAAAAGCGGGCACGCTTTCTTGGATGGCTTTCTTACTCTCATGCGTTTTTCCCTCTAGTCTTGATGCAACGCATGTAACGTGATCACCGCAGACGGAGAGCCTTGACGCCTTGACGCCTTGACACCACCCCCCTTTAATCCACACCGTTGTGCGTACGGAACGACGGCCGGGCGGGTGCGTCGAAAAACAGCCCGCGTCGGCTCTGCCTATGGAACACGAAAAAGGACCACTCCATCTGCGAGGTCAACTTCCTTACGGCCGTGCTAGCTGTCAAGCTCAACCGCAAGCGCGTCGCGGTATGCCTCAAGACAGCCCTGCACGTGTTCGATATATCGGACATGAAGTGCCTCAGGACTCTCGAGACGGCGCCCAACCCGCACGGAGTCATGGACCTCTCGCCTAACGAGGAAAACTGTCACCTAGCGTTCCCTGATGGGGCTAAGGCCGGGAGTTCCGGCGGGGGCGGAGAGGTGGGTTTTGTGGGGGGGTCGAGTTGGTGGGGGGGGGGTTTGCAGAGGGTGTGTCGCTGGTATATATGCGCTAGCAGTTAATCTGCTTGCTTCCGAAATGAGACACGTCTACTGCTGCTGGCAACTCTAGGTTGTTCATTTGCTCACCCAAGTTGATCTTTGTGCACCTACGAGCAGGTTATCTTGTACAATGCTCTGGACCTGAAGGTCCTGAACAAAGTGGTGGCCTGTCGGAGTCGAGTCGTGGCGGTCAGCTTCAGCAGAGACGGCAAGCTGCTTGCCACTGCGTCTGAGCAAGGCACAGTAATCCGCATATTCACGGTCCCCGCTGCAGTGAAGGTAAATCTACCGTGGTCCCGTTCAGCAAAGAGTACCAAGAAATCGTCTTCAGCGTTTCAAGACTAAGCCAGTCAACACTCGATATTTCTGCGTTATTTAGTTCCAACAGTATCACCCTTGCCTTGTCCCGTCTCGCGATACACACACAACGCTCCCGCTTTTTCTGTTCAGCGCCGTTGGCGCACTGTCTGTGTGTTGAAACCGTCTGAAACCGTCGCTCCTTTGTCGAGAAAAAGACTTGCCGCCACTTCCGCATGAGTACCCGCCATTCGAAGTACTTTCGCCCTCACTGAACCCCCCTCCCCATCTGTCTGATAACACCGCTCCGGGTCTTCCGTGCCTGCTGTACACAACCAACCACCACCGAAAGTTGTACACCCTGCGAAGGGGCACCACGAGCTGCGACATCTACTCCATGTCCTTCAACGCAGCCGCCACGCGCCTCGCCGTGTCGAGCTCCACCCGCACAATCCACATCTTCGACGTGTCCGCCGGGGGCGCAGCGGGGGGCGCAGCGGGCCGCCGATCTAACAGCAGCCCGCGACAAGGGGGCAATAGCGGCGGCGGGGAGCAAGAAGGGGACGTAGATAACGGCGGCGGCGCAAATAAGAACGGTTCACGCCCCGGGGGGGCATCAGACGGCAACGACGCCAGCAGCAGCAACAGCAGCAGCAGCAGCGGGCTCGCAAGCGGGTTTCGGTCCATGGTCGGGATGCTCCCCAACAGGGTGACGAAGAGAATGCAGGACTACGTAGATTGCGAGCGGTCGTTCGCGAGCGTCCGCCTCAGAGGGAGCGCCGGCCGCAGCATCTGCGCGCTCATCCCCGCCGGCGACAGCGGGGTATGGACCGGCAAGGGCGGGGGGGGGGAGCACGAGGGCGGCGGGCAAGGCGAGGACGAAGAGGTGGCCCGCGAAATCTTGCTAGTGGTAACGAACGAGGGCATTCTCTACTCGTATGTCGTGGACACGGTTAACGGGGGCGAGTGCCGCTTGGACGAGGCCTCTTCGCTGCTGATGGACCCCAGCGCCAGCCAGGAGATCGGGTCCGAGTTGTTCGTGCCGGAGCGACACGCCCCGCCCGTGCTCGCCGGACAAAGTTAGCCGGAGATTTTGGAAGGGTCGGAAGGGGGGGGTCGGAAGGGGGGGGGGGGTACAATTTCTTCCTTTTTTTGTGGCGGATGTTAAGCAGCAAACACGCTACCTCTCCTGAACGGTTTGTCGTTGGTTGAGCTACTGCTCTGCCAGCGGTGTCTCTCGTAGGATCAGCCCAAAGTTTTCCCGCAAGGGTTGTTTGAATCGAGCAGATCGGGTTGATGTTTGGCAGCAACTCGACACGGCACAATGGGGTTTTTCCGGGCAACCAACCAATCTGATGTTTTCAAGCGAGTGGTCACGAACGAACGTCGACCGTAGCGAAAAGACAGTGGTGAACTGAAATCAGTTCGAGTCATTGTTGTTTCGAGACAGACAGGCAGTCATCGTGTAGTGTCTGATCTTGAAGCGTGTCAATCGTCCGGGTGGGGGGGGGGGGGANGGGGGGGGGGGGGGGAAGGGGTAATTACAAAGGGTCGGTGTTCCCCCAGCGTGCCTGCTTTTGAAAGTGCCACATAAAGAGCTGGTCGATGTCGGTGGGGGGTCGTTTGCTTGGTGTCCCGTGCCGCTCCCCAGCACTAGCAGGGATGCCCATCGTATCGGAATATGTCAGCATTGTAGCCTTGTATGTTCAAGTTCCTTGATTTAGGGCGGCGGGCATGGAATTTTTCGTCCCCCGGTGGGGTGATTAGCCTGAGGTATGGGTGTTTTACGACACCAATCAATTTGTTCGTATTTGAAAAGAGGGAATTGTCCTGGACATTTTTGGGGGAGATTCTACGGCCCTACGGCTGTAGTATCTATCCTCTGGGGATCTCCACGCGGCGCTTAATTTTCAAGTGCAAGCTCCGCTACCGGAAAATATTCCATGCGACATCATGGGCGCGCTGGCCAGGCACGCATATCGTGTCCGTCTGCAGCGCTTTGTTGCACAAGCGGTGCATTTGAGTGCACATTAACACCTCGACGTTTTCATGGTGGTACCCGCGGTATGGCGCGTGGGCTCCATCGAAAGATGTATTTTCTGAATGAAGCTGGAAATCTCTGCAAGTACGACCGTATCACAGCTCACACTTGACAATTAACATCATTTTTTCCTCGAACGTGCTTCAACGTAAAGTTCGCTTTGTAAGCGGCTATCGGTAAAAAACATCCACAAGAAAACGCAGCAATTAAATACCTTCGTAAAAAAAAAATGCGCACAACACGCACTATAGTAATAATGTTCGAGGAGACACCCGCGTGTTCGCAAAATTCCTGGCATGCGCTGCGTTTCCACCTCCTTTTCTTTTCACTATCACGGCACAACCCAAAACTCTCCGCCAAGTGCAACAAGAAATGACACCCGAGCTAACCTCCATCTCAAAGTGCAAGTACAAAATTTCGCACGAAGAAGGAACAAGTGCACGCAAAATTCCACCGCCAAGCGGCGTTACTGCTGTTGTGTCGCGAAATACACCAACCAGAGTCCATCACGTCGTAAATCTCTGCGGCTTTCAACGTTCCCGTCACTCCTTCCCGCTGTCGCTTGCCTTATTGCTGTCTCGCTGCTGGGCGACCTTCTTGGCCCGTGTCGCGAAGTCCTTCACCATGTCCTCCGCCAGAGCTTCGGCAGCCTTGGAGGACAAGACACGCATGGCGGATTCAGGGTACAAGTCTTCAGGGGTTGCGTATGAGTAGAGGGGTAGGTCAGACTGGCCTTGCGACAACTGAAAACAAGCATCTTTGGCGTCGTTTCGTTCTCCTTAGGTAATTGTTGCGCATGATGTTGCCCGGTGAGGGCGCCAGATTCAAGGAGATGAAGAGTAGGAGCACCGACAACGCTGGTCTTGCGGCACGTCCTGCAATGCCGACACGCGGCGTGTGGGAGCATTCGAGACGAGCGGATTGCACACAAGCGAGCCCCTATTGATCAGGTTCGCTGGCACCGGCTCAAAACATTTTGCCCGTCCACAAAAAGTAGTCTTCACCAGCTTAAAGCTTCGCCTCTCTCCCGCGCCCCCCGCCCCAGAAATTTGGCTGCTCTGTGCTCCGTTGGCATCGCTACGGTCACGACGGGCTCGCAATCGAGCGGCCTCTGCCCGTAATCTTTTCACTTCCGCGCCCAAGCGTTCTTCCTCTTCCCGTCGCCACTTGTCGCTCCCAGCCTCAAGCCTCGATTCTTTGCTTCCGCTCGGTGGGGTGTCCTGCTGCACGTTTGTGACCATGACCGTGGTCGGCGGTGGCGAGGCGGGGGTATCTCGTGACCTGCGTCGTAGAATTGTGGGTTTTCGACAAAAGTGTGGCGGCATGCGTTTGCAAGCAGTCAAAGTTGAGAGTGGATGCAGGCAAATAGACGGGACGGCACCCTACTAATATGATGTATATCCTCGAAGCCGATCACTACACCCTTCAAACGCACGTCTGTTGTATTATAGCAGTCGGGCTAAGCTTGCAGCGTCAAGAGTTTCCACTTGCCGCAGGAAGCACTCCGTCCCATAGAGAAGCAGTCTACGACTTTCACACGGCAGTGCTTGCTGCAAGAACAAGCGCGAAGTCCTCCTGACCTCGGAGAAGCATCATCCCTAGACGCCGCCTCTCGCCGCCCTTTATCGTCGCCGCCACCCACCCCATCTCTTTCCGCCCCCCCCGCGTCCCACAGCTTCTTCTGCAAGCGCATCCACAGCGGCAGGTACGTCTGAGCACCCTCCCCCTTCTTGCTGAATCCGATTCTCGCCTTGCGCGCGTCAGTCGTTGCCGGGGACGTCGATTGGCCCTCCACGCTCCCGACATCCGACCTGTTAGACCTATCGGTGGTCTTCGCCCCACCCTTCGCCTCTTCCTCCAGCCACGCCCCGGCTTCGGCTTCTGCCACCACGGTGTCCTCGCCCCTTGCCGCCGACCGCCCGGCGCGGGGCACAGCGGCGGCGGGGCCATCGGCGGCGCGCTTCGCCCGCCTCACGAGCTCCCCCGCTTCCGCGACAACGTCCGTGATCGCCGCCGCTTCCGACATCCAAGCCCCCCAGTCGGACTGTGCCGCGTCTCGGGCCCTTCTCAGCCCCGCTTGCGCCTGCGAGATGGCGGCCGCCGCCTCTCGAGACGAAGGCAGGCCGCGTTCCGCCGAGGAGGAGGCGAGCTGCTCCCCGGCCTCGCTCAGGGTCTCGGCCAGGCCCACCAGGGTCTGCAGAGCGCGGACCCTCTCCGCGGACACCTGGGGCGCCCGCTCCCGCGCGCGCGTCACCGTCGCCTCCGCCTGAGCGACCGCGACCGCCGCGGCCTGAACAGCGTCAGCCAGCGTCGATTCCCGGGCGCTACTCACAGTCTTGCCATCGCCCAACCCCACTCCGGCGTTGGCAGTTGCTGATGCAGCGGTGATGGCGTCATGCGCAACGCTCAGCGCAGCATCGGTGAGGGAGGCAAGGAGGGGCTCGCCGGCCGACTTCACCGTCTCCTGTAGAGAGTTGAAGGTGGCCGAAAGGCGATCCAACCGTCTGGCCGCCGCCCCGCGCTCGGCCTCGCGCGCACGTCGCTTCTCAGCGGCTTCCTCGGCAAACCTTTCGAGCTCTCCCAGCTTTGCGGCCAGACCCTCGACGGCAGCCCGTCCTTCCGCGCCTGACCCTTCTCGTCGTTCGCCGGGGGACCACAGCCTTTCGGCGGCGACCGCAGCCTTCCCAGTCTCCTCGAGCGCGTGCGCTACGGCAGGGTCGCCGCCGAGCTGGAGCTCAGCCACCTGTGCGCGCAGCGCATCACCCCACTGCAAGGCTAAAGCCAACGCGTCCATGGATTCGTTCCCCTTCTCCCCCGAGGAGCCCGATATGGCTCGCTCCGCCGGGGAAGGAGAGGTCTTCGCTTCCCGAGACGCGATTAGCTCGAGGGCCTCAACGAACCCGGTAGCCTCCGATACGGCCTCTTCGTCGCGCGCGAGGCTCCCTGTGCCGCGACCATCGTCATCACGGTCGCTGCCGCCGCAGCCGCCGTCGGTGGCAAGGTAGCCGCTGCCCAAGGAGCTCCGCAGTCGGTCGCGCGCGCGGGCGAGAGCTGCACTGGCCACGCGCACTGCCTCGCGCTTGCTGTCGACGACTCCAGTATCGTCCAGGGCCGCACTTGCCCGGCGAAATCGAGCCTCCGATTGAGCCAGGAGGGACCTGAGCTTGGTACGGATGCCGCGTACCTGCCCAAGCCTCTCGACCAGGCGCGCGGCGGCCTGTTCGGCCTCTGCCGCTGCCGTCTGCGCTGCATCCACAGCCCGTTCCGCCTCCCTTGCGGCATCGCCGGTCCCGGCCCTGAACGATTCAGCGGAAAGAGGCCGTTCGAGGCATTCTCGAGCCACCGAAGCCGCTTCTTCCGCCGCGGCACATGCTCGAAGAGCTTCGGACATGGGGTCTCCTTTCCTGCCCACACGGCCGGCCTGAGCGGTCGATATCGAATCTTGCGGGGATCGCCCTTTCAGCTCTGCCTCGAGACCGGCCTGGGCCTCGGCGATGGAATCGCCACTTGTTTCCAGGGCAGAGCGGAGCATCTGGCGGTGCGATGCAGCCGACTGTACGCGGGTGGTCTGATGGGAATAATGGGAGCGCCAAGGACAACATGGAGCACGGTCGATCGTTGCAAACAACAATGCAGGGTAGGTGCAAGCCGCTAAAGTTCAAGAGTCAAGGCCCAAACGATGAAGGAAGACAACACAAGCAAGCTTGCCTCTCAAGCACGAATCCAACGAGTAGATAAAGGCTTCGTTTCCCGCCATGTCCGCACTGCTGTATCTGTTGTACATGGTACCATGGCAGGATCGTTCCCTTCAAGGATAAAAAAAACATGTCTAGAGTTAGATTGACTGTAACGCGGACAACGCCGGATGAGACGTCGTTTATTTTCTGCAGCGAACCATTCAGGTTCGGCGGTGTTTCAACGAGAGCCGCCAGGCGCATCAAAACCTCGACTTCTGAACAATCTCGAATAAGCGGGACCTCTCCTACCACCAGCCGCCAACTGCCACCAAGAAAAGCCGCGTTGGTCACTAGCCTGCTACAGTAGCTATTGAATCGAATCGCTTCGTTCGTGCACTTGCCTGTTCTTCGGCGGTTCGCTGCGCCATTCTTACTTTCAGCTTGGCCTCCTCCACCTTCGCCTCCGCGTCGCTGACAACCGCTCTCCCGCCCCTGCCGATCGCCGTCACGCCCGCTCGCGCAGCCGCCAGGGAATCTTCGGCGCCCTGCAGGGCACCCTCGCAGAGCTCCGACACCACGCCGGCGTGCGGGAGCACCGCGATGTCCTCCCGGGTCCTCGCTAGCGCAGCCTCTGGGCCGGCCAGCTGCTGCCACCCCCGGTTCATTCGCCGCACCACCTCACGTGCCTCTCGGAACTCGCGTTCGGCAGAAGCGGCCGCCTGGACGGCGCTGTCCACGCGGTCTGCCAGGACCACTTCTTGCGCCTCGCTCCCTTCGCTCTGCGCTTTGGAGCTCTCTTCGACTTCCGTGCGGGCCGAGCTCACCGCCGATAGAGCATCGCGGACGCCCTCAGCCACCTCGCGAAATGACACGGTTCCGCTCGTTTCTGTTAGCTCGGAGGGGTCGAGAGCTAGGAGGGCCGCCGCCGGTCTGTCCAATCGGTTAAGCTCCCACCGAAGCCGCTCCTTGTGGGCTCGCACCCGCCGGTTTGCCCTCACCGCGGCCCTGTCCACGCCCCTGGCGGCGGCGAAAGCGGCGGTGCAACGCTCGAGGAACGCGTCGGCGCCGTCGCTTGACGCCGCCACAACGCTCAGCACACTCTCGTAGCGCTTGAGGGCTTCCTGGAACGCCGCGCGACTGGCGGCAGGCACGTCCCGGGCCTTCATGGTGACCTGAGCCTCCTCCACAAGGCCCTCGGCTTGCTCGAGGAAGGAAGTCGCGTCGTCGAAGCAACGCACCGTGCGCTGAGTCTCGACAAGGTTTTCCTCTACTAGAGAGGCCTTTTCCAGGGCTGCCTGAGCGGAGTCCAGGACGTCCGAAGGGTCTTCGGCCGCTTCCAACGCCATTAGAACCTGAGGAGGCGTGATGTGTAGCAGGCGAGCATTTACCCGGGGGTCAAGAAAGAGGAGCACTCTCGACAGGGAGCACAGCGTCACTTTATGACCATCTGTCATCAAAGCCTTGGAGAGGTGTTCTTTCCTAGCTTTCGTCGCCAACTCAAAACAATGCGACTCTTGTGCAAAAACAAAAAAACGACAGTAATCACCTTCGCCAGGGGGTGGGATTATTAACACGAGGAAACAAGCCAAGGACTCGGGATCAAGAGCACCGCAGACCTGGTGCCAGGCCGCCTCGCAGCGACGACAACAGCGGCAGTAAAAATCACGAAAAGGTTGCTGAGATTCACTTTGAAGCCCCCCCGCCTCCCCCCCCCCTCCAGATGGACCAAAGCGACCGGCACGCCTTCTTGTCGACACCTCATTAAAATCGGAGCACAACTGCCACTTCGGCCTGGTCCTCACATTCACTGCCTCTGATCTTGCTTCCAGAACCATCGCCGCCGCCTCCGGATCGTCGGCGACGACGCTATCGGTGTCCAGACTCTCGAGTCGTCTCGCGGCCGACCACAGCTCGGCACACCTCTCCTGCCTCTCTTCTTCCGCTCGCTCTGCCGCTGCTCTCTCGCGTGCAACACGGTTCCCCGCTGCTTCGGCTGCTTGTTCGGCCCGCCCAGCGGCTGCCAAGAGAGAGTCGTCATGCTCAATGCCTCCCGGTCCCAGTTCATCATCGGCAGCGCTGTCCACGGCCACGCTCAAGGCGACTCGTATTTCACAAACGGCGGCGGTAAGGGAGCCCACCACAGCAGACCGGCCGGCTACCTTCGCCGCCTCTGCGTCGGCTATGACCGCCACCGTCCTAGCCGCAGCGCGCTCCAGCGCTAAGACCGCGTTACCCCTTCGCCGGCCACGCACCTCGGCTGCAGCCACCGCCGCCTCTGCGACCGTTAGCCGCTGTAGACTTGATTCCACGCGCTTGTCAAGACCCGTCGCATCCCCAGATGCCTCTGCTTCCTTCTCGACGGCATCAAGGCTCTTCTTCGCTTCCGCCGTCGCCCGTGATGCTGACCTCTCCAAGGATTCAGGCGGAATCGGGCGCCGGAGCTCCTTGCCATCGGCACCGCCGAACTTCCACGATGCCGTGAGCACGCGCACGCGCTCCAGGGACGCGCGACGCTGCTCCGCGGAGGCGGCAAGCCGATCCACACGACCGTGAAGCACCGCTAGCGCGGCCGTTGATGACTCCAGACGCTCCTTGGCTCGGCACCTCGAACCGTCGTTGACTGCCGCGGCCTCCCTCTCGTGCTTGACCGTCTCCTGGGCTCGCTCTGTCGCGCCGCGGGCGAGACGAGCAGCAGACAGGAAGTCCTGCGCGAGCGCTTCGCGCTCCTCGGGCGAGACCCGCCGGCCCCGGCTGTCTCGCCTCCCCGCAGCCCTCCCCGCCTCTCGACAAGCCTTCACCGCTCGCGCCACCGCGGGGCGCCCCAGGAGTCCAAGGGCTTGCGCTTGGAGCGACAGGTCGTCCACGCGGGCGCGCTCCTTGTCGAGAATGGCCCTAGCCTCCGCCTCCGCACCCTCTATCCGGCGAGCAAGCGTAACAGCGGCTCGAGCTGTATCAACACCTCGCAGGGCGGACTCGAGGATCCCGCTCGCCACCAACGTTTCGACCCGGCTTTGATCAGAAACGCCCGTCCTGCCCTCTTTCTGCAGGGCCCCGTGCATTCTCTCCAGCCCCCTACGAGCGTTCCTCAAGGCCTCCGATACGCCGGGGCTGCCAGCAAGCCCGCAATCCGTCGCGTCCGTCTCCATCTCTGTCACCTCGCCGAGGGCCATGCTCACCAGTGCTCTCGCGCGATCAAGGCGGGTGCCGTGCTCGCTGGCGACGGTCTCGACCGCCCGCTGCAGCTCCTCGGCGGCATGTGAGGCCCTTCGCGCGGCCTCCTCGTAGACGGCACCGCCTTGTGGTGACCCCAGGATACCGGTGTCGGCCCTCAGACGGTCGGCCTCGGCAAGAGCAGCGTCAAGCTTGTCCAGCGCTTCCTGGAACTGGTTCCCAGCAGTGATGCCTCTTCGCCTCCCTATACCTTCCGGTCCGAGCATCGCTCGCCGCAGCGCCCTCGTTTGCATCAGCCACCGGTCTCCCGCCCTCCTAGAGGTTTCGTCCTGCGTGCTGCCTTTTGGCCGGTGTGGCTGTTCGTGCTGCCGTCGCTTTGCACACGCGGCGTCCACCTTGGCCACCACAGCCCTTACCTTAGCCTTGCACGTGGCTAGAGAGGGCTCACTCGCCTTCGTACCCGACGCCGCGCGGCCTCCCTGCAAGGGTGCCGAGCTCGACTGCCTTAAGCGTTCGGCACAAACGTCGACCGATGCCTGCACCTTGCCTAGCGCCCCCCACAGTACCGGAAGCGCCTTGATGTCCAGCGTATCGGCGCTACGTAGGCGTGCCCTTGCAGCCTCAAGTTTCTCACGACAAGCAGAAATTTCTGCGAGCGTCGTCGCTTCACGAGATGCTGTCGGACACGTTTCAAGTCAGGTCGTACGGCGGAGCTTCGGAGTGTAGAGAGAAAACTGCTGGTATATCCAAAAGGAGGCGCGCAGACGCAAACCTCAGGTATTCTATGATCAAATACACGCTGCACTTGGATTCGACTGGAAAAAGCGGTGTGACGTAGCAAAGGGTTTCGCTAAAGTGAGTACTTCCTACGATGCCATATCCCACAACACAGCAAACCGCAACCCGACCAATAACTCACCTGCATTGTCCAGCACTGCGATGTCCTTCCCAACTGCTCGTTCCGCATCCCGCACGAGCCGTTCTGCAGCCTTGACCGCTCGCCGAACCTCCGCGGGTCGTCCCGAAAACCTGCTGTATCCCCCCGTCTTGAGCGCCCTGCGCAATGACGCAACCTCTTCTAGCGCTGCGGCAACACTAGCCGCGCCCTTCCCAGGCGCAGCGAGAGGATTTTTCCCAAGCGAAGACGAAAGGACCGACAGCCGGTCGGTGAAACCGTACAGCTCTCCTCCAGCAGCTCGTACCGCCGCCTTGAGCTTTGCGGACTCCCGGTGGCTGTTGAGGCTTGCTAGCGCTGCGAAAAATCCAGAGGAGGAATCGCGCTTGCTGTTTCCTCTGGCCCTTGACAGGCCAGCAGCGTCAACGTCTGCTTGTCCAACGAGAGTTGCATTCGTTCTTCCAGCAAATAGTCTGACCGCCGATCGCCCCCCGGCGGCCTTGGTATCTTCCGCTGCGATCCCTGTTTCCCGTTTGTCGTTCTCCATTGTGACCACTCCCTCTCCCCTGGACGTTATGAGGTAGTAGTCCTCTTCGTCCTCAACAGCGGGAGCTTTCGTTGCATGTGCGCTTGTCGGTTCTGTCTCCCCATCCGCTCGGGCGAAATCCGCCGGTCCCAAGTCCGCCGCCGCTGCCGCCTCATCACGACCCGCTTGCCCTCCCTCCTCCATTCCTAGGCCCACCCACGCACAATCCTCAAATGATGCGCCCCACCCCACGAAATCGCTCTCAACCTCGCCGCTACTGGTCCAGTCGAGCGTCGTGCTATCTTCTCCCACGAAAAGTCCAAAGTCTGCCGCCCAAGATCCCAGCCCCGAAACATCGTCTGCTCCTCCTTCGTCTACCCCCCTCCGGTCTCGTAGCACTTTCAGAAAGGAGAGCACGCCAGCTTCCTCGTCAGATTGCCCTCCCGGTCTCGTCGTCGTTCCGGCCGCGTCACGGGGAGATTTTTCTTGGGCGGCCTCCCGAACCCTCTTTCCCACCTCCTTGCCGGCCGCCATCCCTTTGTCCGCCGCCCCGACACCGTCATCATCCCTCTCACCGGGGATAAACCCAATCTCTACTGGAAACACCCCTTCCGCGCCTACTGTCAACCCACCACACCCCTCACCCACACCACCGCGGCAGCCGCCACCGCTTGCACTACCCTCTCCATTTGAACCTCTGGTCCCTACCCCCCCAGCAGACATGACCAAGGACATCCTGCCAGGCCGACACCCCTCCCGTCCCAGTCCAAGCCCCCTCGTTGCCGCCAGCACCCCCCTTCTAGTAGTTCTTGTTGTAGTAGTACCCGCCCGAGTCTGAAAAAAATAATTATCCCCGTATGACGGAAAGGTAGCTTCGCGACCCCCGTCCCCGTCGAGGGACATGCGCGGCTGCTGTTGCGTGCGGAGCGGCTGCTGCCGCCGCCGCCGTTCCCCTCCACCCGCTTGAAACCCTTGGGGCGTCAGGGACGAAACAGGGGATACGTGCGGCGACGCGTAGGCTTCGCCGCCTCCGCCCCTTTCTCTTCCGCAAGACCCCCGCCGCGATGTGTCAGACTCAGGCCAACACCGTCAATTCGAAGTAGCGTGGTACGCAGCCGGGGCGGCGGCGGCGGCGGCGGCGGCGGCGGCGGCGGTGAATGCCGAGGGAGGGGTGGCTAGCACGCCGTCCCCGCCCGTAGTCCCCCCCCCTGTCTCCTCGCCGTCCGCGTCACCGCCCGCGCGGCCATCTGTTGTCCTGCTACTGCTACTGCTGCTGCTGCCGATACTCAAGAAAGCAATGTTGTTGTCTTCTGATCGGTCGGTTACCGGCACTTCCGGGGAATCTGGAAGCCTCGCGTAGAGGTCGCTCACTGCCTCGCCCGCAAGGCCCAGAGATGACCGTGCGTGCTGCAGCAGCAACAACGATGGGGTGAACAAGGTCGGCGCACACGAGCAGCATTGCCACAACCGAACAACAAGGCGGAGAGGGGCATCAGCAACGTGAGCGGGAGTGTTTGCACGCAAGACGGCCGGGGGGCGTGGGTAGCAGCAACCACTTTTCTCGCTGGTATGCATAACCCTGGTACAACACAACGGTCACGGCGCATGTAGTATGCAAAGGGTGCCCTCGAACTGACGGTGCAGACAAAAATAATATTATCACAGTAGTGGCCCCTGTACAAGGTCGCATAGTGGCAAGGGATTGACCGGCAAGGGATTGGCCGGCGGTTAACCAGCACTAATCCGCGTAGTATACAAGTAGAAGATCCCACCCGTGTCGCGCGCAACAAAAATAGGGTCTTATACATGGCGACGGGCCTTGTTTTTTCGGCCTTACGCAGGAACGGACCACTACTGGAAGGACCTATGCTCCTAAATAGCGAGAACGACGTGTGTCGCCACCTGTGGACGAGGTAAAGTTAACACACCTCGAGCATTGCCTTGGCTACTGCTGGGTCTCGTTCTTCTTCCACCCTCCGCCGCACGAACGACTTTGTACCCCTGACCATCAGCTCCTCGCACACTACCCCCGTCATGCCCAGCACCTCTTCCATCGCCTGATGGTCGGTTGCAAGAAAGTTGGGGGAGGGGAGGGGGGGGGGGGGG